AACAACAACAAGATGGTGGGTCAAAAATGGACTCAGTATGGACAACATTCCTACATTATAAAAATCCCAGTTTTTTTTATGTTCCCCGTGACCATACCAAGTGTTGGTGAGGATGTGGAGCAACTAGAACTCTCCTAAGTTATGTAGGGGAATTTGAAATGGTACAAAACACTGGAAACCAGTTTGTGAGTTTCTTATCCCCCTGTGGATTGAATTTTCATTTCTCAAATGACTAATGACGTTGAGCATCTTCTCATGTGCTTATTGTCCATTGGTATATCTTCTTTGGAGAAATGTCTATCCAAATCTTTTGCCCATTTTCTAAGTGGGTTGTTTTTTGTTGTTGTTGATTTGTGAAAGATCTTTATATCTTCTAGATACAAGTCTTTTGCAAATATAGGTATTGTAAATATTTTCTCCCATTCCCCGGTTTATCATTTCATTTTCTTAAAGGGATCTTTCAAAAAGCAGATTTTAAAATTTGATAAAGTCTAAGTTACACTTTTTTCTTTTGTAGTCCACAATGCTTGTGTTACTTAGAAATCTTTGCCATTCCAGACTGTGAAAGTGTTCTTCTGTGCATTTTTCTTAGATACTGTTATAGTTTTAGCCTTTATGTGTAGTTCTCTAATCTATTTAAAGTAAATGTTTTTTTTTTTATAATTTTTATTATTTTCAACGTGCCTCCAGTTGTTTTTTTTTTTTTAACATTTTATTTGTTTATTTGACAGAGAGAGACACAGTGAGAGAGGGAACACAAGCAGGGGGAGTGAGAGAGGGAGAAGCAGGCTTCCCGCCGAGCAGGGAGCCCGATGCGGGGGCTCGATGCCGGGGCTCAATGCAGGGCTTGAAGCGGGGCTTGAAGCGGGGCTCGATCCCAGGACCCTGGGACCATGACCTGAGCCGAAGGCAGACGCTTAACGACTGAGCCACCCAGGCGCCCCAAGTAAATGTTTTTATATGGTGTGAGGTCAGGGTCAAAGTTTATTTTTGCCCGTGTGTATAGTCAATTGTTCACCACCATTTCTTGAAAAGAATATCCTTTCCTCACTGGATTACAATGACCCCTGTGTTGAAAATCAATTGATCATATACTCATGGTTCTATTTCCGGACTTGCTTCCCACTTATATATATCTATCCTTATCCCAATACCACACTGACTTGATTTCCATTCTAAGTCTTGAAATCAGGTAATGTAACTTTGTTATTTTTCAAAGTTGATTTGGCTTTTACATTTCTGTATAAACTTTAAAAATCAGCTTGTAATTCCTGCAAAAATAAGAAAGCCTGCTGGGATTTTTATTTGATTGCATTAAACCTACACATCAATTTAAGGAGAATTGCTGTCATAAAATATTGAAGCTTCCAGTCCATGAGCATGGTATGCTGGTGTATCTCTCCATTTATTTAAGTCTTTTTTTTACTTTTCCAACAATGGCCCTTAGAGTGTTCATTGTACATTTAATAAACATATTTGGTTAAATTTACCCCTAAGTATTCATGGTTTTGGACACTGTTTTAAATGGTATTAGTTTTATAAAAGTGGTGAGAGTATGGCCCCTGCCTTCCTCCCTATCTTGGGGGAAAAGCATTCAGTCTTTTACCATTAAGTGCTATGTTACCTGTAGGTTTTTCATGGATACCCTTTATCAGGCTGAGAAGGTTTCCTTATTTCTAGTTTGCTGAAAGTTTTTTTTTCATAAATGGGTGAAATTTTTACATGTTGTCTTTTTTTTAAAACATGTTGGATTTTGTTCTGGAAGATAGTTAAGTTACTTGTGGATCTGTTTGATCCCTTTGAGACTTTTCCTAGAAGTTTTTTTTTTTTTAATTTCAAAATAATTGTAATTCACATGAAATTTCAAAGATAGTACAAAGAGGGCCTATGTACCCTTTACACAGTTTCTTTTTTTTTTTTGATGGAAAAAAGATAAGTTTATTTTGAATTGTTTTAATTTACAAATACAAAACACCTTGGAAGACAAAAAAAAATGAAAGAAAAACACAAAACATAGGCAAATTTTTACTCCATGAGCTTCTCAAATCCTCACTTATTCACCAATCCCCAAGATGAAAAACTCTTCTAAAAAGGTATTCAGCCGCCAACAATGATGTTATTAATAGGGATATGGATCAATTTCACAAAAAAGCCAATGAATCCCATTATAGCAAATCCTATTGCTGTCGCCATGGCAATCTTCTGGAATTCTTTTCTATCAGGTTTAGTGCATCTTTTAACCAGCCGAATTGAGTCCTTCACAAACTGCCGATTTGGCTCAACAAACTGCATTACCTGATCCATGATGCCTGCCAGCCAACGGCTCAGACGCCAGCGACACGTAGCACAAATACAAACTGTACACAGTTTCTCTCATGGCCACATCTTCCATAACTATAGAGATCCATCCAAACTGTTATGTGTATCAACAGTTCAGTACTTTCTATTGCTGGCTGGTATTCCAGTATAGTTTTCTTTTTCTTCCAAGTCTACCATTTAATTCCTCAGAATAAAAACAAAACAAAACAAACAAACAAACAAAAAAACAAGTATTAGGATTCCAAAGAATTACACAACAAAGGAATGTCAAGGGACAGGCAAAATTGCACCATTCTCCAGGGGCACATTCGTTATTCCAGCTTAACATCTAGCTTCCAGACAAAATGAATTTTTATTTTTTCCAAGTGAAATAATGTACGATTGCTATCTTCCTCTGAACTTAAAACTTTCAAATGCATAGCTTCATCTTAAGGTTGGTAAAAAAAAAACTTTTAACAGGATGATGGCCTGACTCAGTATGTAGTATGTACCTTGCAGGAAATTTTTACAACAATTATAACACAGGAATAATACTATTGACAATGAAGTCTTCAATTTAGAATCGGAATATTCAGTCAATGAATCTGTCTCAAGATCTCCATCTCTTGTTTGCTCTATTTGTATTCTCTTTCTGGCCACTGAATTAGTGCTTTGAGCCCAAAAGATTTATTTTCATTACAGTAGATAACATGTTGTTTAGCGCTCAGTTTTTTTGTCTGGTTGGTTTTTTTGTTTTTGTTTTTTAAGTAGGCTCCACGCTCAGCATGGGCCTCAGGGCAGGGCTTGATCCCAAGACCCATGAGATCATGACCTGAGCTGAAACCAAGAGTCAGATGCCCAACCAACTGAGCCACCCAGGCGCCCCTCTTTTTTTTTTGCCTTCTTGATCATCTTCTTCTTTAGAATCAGAGGCTGATGGGACCCTTGTGTTAGTTGAAATGTTCCCTTTTGATTCAACTTTTGTGTTTCTCTCTTGTTTGTCTCGCTCTTGTCTTGGTTATCTCCTTCCTCCTGACCCTATTCATCTTTCTGAAGCTGCTTTTTAGGTTATCATTTCACGCTCTGAAAGGCACATCGATTTTGGATCTGCCTGTTGGTTTTAGAATCTTGACTTCTGTAAATAGGGAATGGAAAAATAAAAAGTTCCCATAACAGTTGGTTTAACCATTCATCTAATGAAGGACATATGAGTTGTTTCCAGTTGGGGCATATTGCAAATACAGTTGCTATGAACGCTTATGGATAGGTCGTGTAGACTACAATTTTTGTTTATCTGGGTAAATGCCCAGGAGTATGATTGCTAGGTAACATGGAAAGTGTAGGTTTAGTTTGGTAAGACACTGACAAACTGTTTTCCAGAGTGGCTGTACCATTTTACATCTCTACCAGCGATGGGATGAGAGATCCAGTTTCTTAGCTTCTTCCCCAGCATTTGGCATTAGCATAATCTTTTAATTTTAGCCATTCTGATTCCTAGGGAATGAATTGCGTCATCCTCCCCCCACCCCACCCCCGCCATTCTTATGCTGGAGGCCTAAACCCCAATTGGACTGTATTTGGAGATCGGGTCTTTAGGACGTAATTAAGGTTAAGTGAAGACACAGGGGTGGGGCCTTGATCTGGCAGGATTAGCGTCCCTATAAGAAGAGACCTATAAGAGAGTGTCCGTACAGGAGATCTTGCTCGCTTGCTCTCCTTGAGCACCCACACACCAAGGAAAAGCCATGTGAGGACATACTGAGAAGGCAGCCCTATACAAGCCAAGAGGAGAGTCCTTACCAGAAACTAAATTTGCTGGATGGTCGATTGCAGTGGGGGAGAGAGATGGAGCTGAACTCTGAATATAGCATGGGCAAATAGGAATCTACAGCCAAGGAGCAGGGGGTGTCAGTGCGTGGACAATTACTAAGAGCAAACACCAGGGGTAAGGGGGATTCTGGATAAACTGACCAGGCCAGGGGGATCCGACATCACCAAGGATGGTGGAGGACAAGGAATCCAGATACACAGGGTTGTGGGTTCTGGTTAAACTGACTTAGCTGAATTCTTTCTAAAATTGGGCAAACACAGAAATCCAAAAGGCTTAGTTGAAAAAGAATTCAGGAGAGCGTGACTAGAATTCAGCCAACGAGAGAACCTTTGTCAGCTCCTTTCTCTATACCGTGCAGCGCCATGGTTTTTATTATTCTTAACAATGGCTAATATTTATTGAGCCCTTATAATGTGTCAGGTACGACGTTAAGTGTTTCAGATATGTCTATTAATCCTCCCGGGAGTCCTGTCAGGCAGATAAAATTATCTCTAATTCAAAGTTGAGAAATATGAAACTCAAACTGACTGGTCTAGCACGCCATACATAGTAGTAGTGTCAGAGTTCGAAACCACGTGTGTCCTATTTAAATGATCACTGTGGTAAACTGTAAATAGGACAATGCAAATGTCAAATATAAGCAACAAAATTCACCCCTGTTTCCGCGGCCTACCCAAATTCACTGGGACAGGCCCTCTGCAGACACCCCGGAAACCCCCGCCCTTAGCCCGCAGCCAAGGACTAGGTAAGCAGCTGCACTATGGCGGTTCCCGGGCCGGGCGGGGAGGGGCAGCCCCGCCCACCACTCCGCTGCAGCCAATAGCGCCTGCGCCACGGGGGCGGGGCTGCCCCTCTGATTGGGCACCGAGCACCCGGCACCGAGTGGAGCGCGAACCGCCGCGTGCCAAGTTCTGGGTTCCGGACTCGCGCGGCAGTTGTCACGAGGCGGGCACACAGTCGGGCGCGGGTCGGCAGGTCTCGGACTGTGGCCGCGGCGGCGGCAGCGTGGGGCCTCGGGGTCGCGGGACTCTGTTCCGGTAGGTGGGCAGCTTCGGGTGCCAGGACCTTGGCGTCCCCGGCGCTCTCTTTGTGGTGTGCGCCTTGCCGCCGCGCTTCCCCCGCAGCTCTGAGAAGCCGGAAAAGGTGAGGGGCGCTTTGTTTGTGGCCGAGGTGAGGGGCGGGAGGGCGGCGAGCCCCGATGCCCGGTCCCTGGTCACCGGTCGGTGCAGTAGGGGTGGTAGGCTCAGCCTTTGACACAGATGCGAATGCTTACAGCTGATAAAGTAGCCGCTCCCCACTGAGCACTTTTCTCGCAGAGCATGTTCAATTTAAGTGCACCCTTCACCTGGCTACAGAATCCCCTGTGCTGCAGGTGGAGGGCTATCACGTTGCCCATTTTACAGACGAGGAAGGTGAGGCTCGACTAGAAGAGCCGATTTAGGCGCGACCCTGCGGAAAGCAAAATGGCAGGGCCCGGAATCAAACGGAAGCTCTCAAAGCCTGCGTTCTCAAGCATTGCATATATGGTCGCGCTGCTTTTGGAGTGCGAGCAGATCCCTGCGGGGGAGGAGCTCCGCCTGTTGTCTGCAATCTGTCACCCCCCACCCCCCACCCCGTGCTAGGAGACAAACGTTGCACTGTGGGGTTCTTGGCCCCGTGCCCTGTGCTTCGAGGTCCTGGAAGTTAAGTGACCCTTGATCAGATGAAGCCAGAGCAAAACATGTGTCTTTAGTCAGGCAGTTGCCGGAGTGGAAATACCAGTTCAGGTTCTTATGGAATCATATTTTAAATTTCTTACTTGAAGGAACATGCGCTGGAGGTGGGCATCCTGTGCTTTTATTTAGCGCAGTGTCATGGGAACGTGGCTTTGGAATTAAAGGTAAATCGGAGTTCAGATTCTGACCCCTTGTGGTAGGACCTTAGACCACTTAGCTCTCTGAGCCCCGGTTTCCTCCTCTGTATACTAGGCAACACAGAATCTGTGTGTGGGACACACAGATGGCATTCAACAGGGTCGTTCCCTCAGGAGACTTCTGGCCAGTTCCACCTGTGTGACAAAGGCCCCGGGGAAGATTTGGGGCCACGGGGAGGCTGATGACCTTGGCAAGGAAATTCACTTCCCAGGTCTGTTTCCCTGGGGTTGAGGTGAGGATGATGCCACACGTGAATGACATTTCCCCAACAGAAATATCCAGCACTAAAATGATAGTAACGGCTGCAGTGGGCTGTGTCCTCAGCCCAGATTACTGAGTGGTAACAAAGATGGCCCGAAGGTCCCTCCGTTTCTTTGATAAGAGTAGTAGCTGGGGGCGCCTGGGTGGCTCCGATGGTTAAAGCGTGTGCCTTCGGCTCAGGTCATGATCCCAGGGTCCTGGGATCGAGTCCCACATCGGGCTCCTTGCTCAGCAGGGAGTCGGCTTCTCCCTCTCCCTCTGCCTCTCCCCCTGCTTGTTCTCTCTCTGTCTCTTTCGCAAATGAATAAATAAAATCTTAAAAAAAAAAAAAAGAGTAGTAGCTGGTAGTTTTTAAGTACTTACTCTGTGCCTGGCACTGTTCTGAGTGCTCTGTGTATGTCCAGTGGCTCATTTAACTCTCCCTGCCTGCTCAGAACTATCTTCACTTCTGGGTTTTATATGAGGGGACTGAGAAACAGAGGTGTCAGTAACTGGGGTTGCACATTAAGAAGTGGAGAGCAGGATTTGAACCTAGCAGGCCGGCTTTAGCAGATTCTTTGGGTGTGGTCTTACACTGTTGGGGCGTGGGAGGATTGGAGGGGTCCAGCTTGGGAGTGTCCCCCACCTGCTTTTTGACATCAGGAACCCCGATCTCCCTCAGTTGGGTTTCTCTAGTTGTAAGTTTCAGATTTCACAGATGGATTGAGAAATGGCTTTAAGACCAAGGTTTCTAGAACACGGTTTAAAACTTGTCGAGTATGTTCGGTCAAGGTGAAGAATCTCTTCTCCCATCCCTGTTCTCACCCTTGGTCCTTCCAAGTATCATCTTTTGTGCCTCTGCTTTGTTCCGCAAGCTTTAGCCATGCGGGCCTGATTTCTGGCCCTTAACAAGTCAAACTTCTTCCCATTTTAGGGCCTTTGCACCAAGTGTGATAAGGTGAAGAGTGATTTCGGAGGGTAAGGTGTGTTTGCTCTTACCCCAGATCTCAGAAGCTGGGCTCCTTCCCACTTCAGATCGCAGCTTGGGCACCTTTCACGGCCTGGCCTAAAGAAGCCCTCCCCCCACTTACTGTCCTCAGGGCAATCACTACCACCTGAAATTATCTTGTGAATTTCTTACCTTTTTGTCTGTCTTCTCCTTAGAAAAGCAGGGCCTCTGTTCTTTTGACCCATATTCTTAGTTCCTCACTCAGCGCCTGGGACATAGGAGTTGCTCAATAAATATTTGTTGCAGGAATGAGTGAATTTACTGTAGGCTAATAGTAGCAGTAGAGTATGGATCTCTTAAATATCAAAAGCTTGAATGAAATACAGAATTACTGTATGATCCAGCAAGTCCTCTTTGGGTCTATACCCAGAAGGCTTGAAAGCAGGGACTTGGTATTTGTTCATGTTCATGGCAGCGTTACTGACAGTAGCCAAAAGGGGGAAGCAACCCAATGTCAGTGATGAAAAAATGGATAAACAAAGTACTGTGTGGCACCTACATACAGTGGAATATTATCCAGACCTAAAAGGGAGGGAAGTTGGGACACGTGCTACAACATGGATGAACTTTGAAGACCTCATGCTACGTGAAATAAGCCAAACACAAAAGGGCGACTGTTGTGTGATTTCATTTACTGAGGCACCTGCCATAGTCAGATTCATGGAAAGTAGAATGGTTGTTACCACCGGCTTGGAGAGAAGAGAATGGAGAGGTGTTTAATGGGGGCCCAGAATTGCGATTTGGGGTGATGAGAAAGTTCTGGAGACTGATGGTGGTGATGGTTGCACAACAATGTGCATGTATTTAATGCTACTGAATTGCACTTAAAAAATGGTCAAAATGGCAGAGAATGACAAATACCATAGCGGTTTCACTTATATATGGAATTTAAGATAGAAAAGGAACAAGCAAAGAAAAAAATAAAAAAACAGACTCTTAAATACAGAACAAACTGGTGGTTGCCAGAGGGGAGGTGGATGGGTGAAATAGAAAAAAAAAAATTTTTTTTTAACAAAGATGATTTTTAATTTAAAAATGGTTAAAATGGTAAACCTTATGTATATTTTATCAGAGTTCAAAAAAAATGAGGACAAAGTTCAAGGTATGTTATTTTTCAGCCAAACTCCAGACCTCAAGAAAAGATGTGAAGTATGTCTTCCCCAAATATATTAGCTAAAAATGATGATTTTCCCTCGGCTTCTTAAAAGGTACACAGTGTCAGGATCTCTTTCTTGTTTTATCAGCTCGCTGGTCATCCATAAATCTGGTCAAGTTGACACATAAATTAGCTATTTATATTCCAGGTCTTTGTGTTACTGTAATTCCGATTGCCCCGGCATATAATAGATCTATTCGACTTAGTAGAGACAATAGATTATATCTATAGTAGGTACAATTGCCTCAATTGAAACAAGACAAAGAATCTTGAACTCGCTGCTTTTTTTTTTTAAAGATTTTATTTATTTATTTGAGAGAGAGAGAATGAGAGATAGCACGAGAGGGAAGAGGGTCAGAGGGAGAAGCAGGCTCCCCGCGGAGCAGGGAGCCCGATGCGGGGCTCGATCCCAGGACCCTGGGATCATGACCTGAGCCGAAGGCAGACACTTAATGACTGAGCCACCCAGGCGCCCCTGAACTCTCTGTTTGAATAAAGAATTGAAACTTTTTCGCAGTTAAAACAAAAAGCTTCATCTGGACTCAAGAAGGGTATGGGTTTGGGGCACCTGGGTGACTCAGTCCTGCATTGGGCTCCCTGCTGTGCGGGGAGCCTGCTTCTGCCTCTGCCCTGCCTGAAATAAATAAATGCACTCTTAAAAAAAGAAGAAGAAGGGTATATGGGCTTAATAAGAGTGTGGATTAAGTACCCCATGTCGGGAAAGAAGGCTTGATCCTGCGTAGTTATAGGATACAAGGTAGAAAGCTCCTCCCCGTGGGTGGGCCATGAGAGCAGGAGGTCCTGGCCCCACACGCAGATCTCCCCTGGGGCCAGAGGTAACTGACTCAGAATTAGCATCTTTCCCTAAGGAAAGGGTTTGCAGCCAGGACACAAGGCCCCAGGTCTTCTGCGGAAGGGAAGCCAGTGAGCGGAAGGGAAGCCAGTGAGCGTGGAGATGCAGGTGGGGACTTTATTCCTTGTCCTGAGGCAGACTGCAACGGAGTGCCTTTCCCAGAATGATTGTAGATCTGGCCTGCCTTGGAGGAGGAGGAGGGCTCCAAACGGATTGCCGTTTGAGCAGTATCTTCTCTGTGTTGCTTGCCACCTTCACATCCTTTTTGAGTAATCAATATTTAAAAGAAGCTTGGTCTTCGAAATTCTAGAACCAGAGCGCCTGTTTTGGCTCTTGTGCTTCTTTTGGGGGTGGTTTACCACCTGTCGAGGGCAAGTGTGTGGGTTTATGCAGAGAGCCTTGGGTTATATTGGCCTTTCTTGAGTGCGGGGATGAGCACGGAAAAAAGCTGTGGGCGTAGTGCCCAAACCATTTTCCCATCTCTCTCTCTCCACCTGTCACAGCAACGTGGACATGGCCAGCCTCCTCCAAGGCTGCCTGCCTGCCCTTGGCAAGGCAGGCCTGCCTTGCTGCAGAAGCGTGAAGCCGAAGTGCTTGCTGACGTGGCTTATTCCTAATCCTCTATGCTTGCGTCAAAATCATGGCTGCTTTGAAAGCCTCAGTGAGGAATTTCCCAGTTACCTATTACTGACAGTTTCTTCTTGCTAGCTCTACCGGAGGTTAAGGAGGATGAATCACTGGATTTGGGACTATTGGGCTGTTTTCTTGAGCCACTTTCCTGTTTTATCTAGCTGTGTGAAGTCACCTGTTTTGCTCGCTGCTGGGCAGGGCTCCCGTCTGTTTCGGTCACCTCCGTGTGCCCAGTACCAACCCTGTGGCTGCCACGGGGCAGGTCCCTGATAAATAGCTGCCAAATGAGTGTCCTGAAATGAAATTGATGGAAAAGTCCTGAAAAGCTGCCAACTACTGATTGAAGGGGGTCGGTTCCTGTCAATATTTAAACTTTCTCACTGGTGGATAAATTGTCATTCTCTGCAGGAACCTAGGTTAAAAATCTTGCATTTTCCGCTCAGCTCTATTTTAACGGGATGCAGTTTTCTGTTGAAAAAGACAGACGTGCAAATCTGACCTGTGGTTTTTACTGGAGGGTTTCTATTTAAGCAAAGAGCGCATGCCTTAACTCGTAGCTCCTACAGTAGGACGTCTGTGGGGCACTCAGAATGTGTGTTTGGGGGTTTTGAGCACATCCTTCATGGCCAACCTGCCGTTCAGCCCTGGGCTGAGATACTTTTTCTGTTCTGAGCCTCATTTCGTTACTTGAAAAATGGGAAGAATATCTCTGAAGTCAGCAGTTGGTTTGTTCAGCCATTTGGCAAATATATCTGGCCATGCAGGGGTTCTGTGTGGGATTAAAAAAAAAAAGAAAAAAGTAACACTGAGTTCTTGCCTTCAAGGCACCTGGTTTAGTTGGGGAGCTACCCTGTGACCAGGAATGGTATAGTTGGGAAGAGGGGTACCAGGTTCTCTCTAGGCCGGGGCAGGCCTCAGAGGGAGGGCTGGGAGTTCTCTCCACTAACAGGATCACGAGCTGACCTCCAGAGTTCCAAAAGGAACCAGAAGTTCCTGACGTGGTGGTTTTGCAATAGAAGGCCGTCATGTTTACCCAGCAGTTGTGAGGGAAGGGCCGTAGGACACGTCCGTCCTTCAGCAACTTGGGAGAACCAACAGGTTGCCATGAGCTTTAACTAAATTTAATGCTGAGAGTGTTTCCAATTTTAGGCAAATTTAAACCAGTGCAGTGATGACTCAAGTCAACGGGGCTCACAAGGATGCTGACCTGTGGTCGTCGCATGATAAAATGCTGGCACAACCCCTGAAAGACGGTGACACTGAGGTGAGGCGCGGAGAGTCTTGTTTAAATCACCTGGTCTATTCCTAAATAAACCTTCCTCGGGACATCCTTGCAGTTAGCAGAAGAGTGCCAGATTTAGAGGTGGTGGCTGACAAAGTGGCTAAAAGTCCTCGGTGGAAGGCGCCTGGGTGGCTCAGTTGGTTAAGCGTCTGACTCTTGGTTTCAGCTTAGCTCATGATCTCAGGGTCGTGGGATCGAGCCCCGAGTCAGGGTTCGGCGCTGAGCATGGAGTCTGCTTCAGATTCTCTCTCCCTCTCCCTCTGCTCCTCCCCCTGCTCACTCACACTCTCTCTCTCTCTAAAATAAATAACAATAAAAGCCCGCTGTGGGGAGGGAAATAGGGATATTTCTGGGTTTCCACAGAGTGCAGAGCACTGTTCTGCCTGCTCTGGAGAGAAGGGGCACTGGAGGGGCCACTGAGATCTGACCTTTTTCTTCACGTTCAGATATCTAGACACTGAGAAGCATCTTTTATTTATGTGTTTTTATAACAGCTTTATACGTGAGAGATCATTCACTTACCATATAAGTTACCCACTTAAAGTGCATGCGTCAGTGGTTTTAGTATGTTCACAACCAATTTTTTTTTTTTTAAAGATTTTATTTATTTATTTATTTGAGAGAGAGAAAGCATGAGTAGAGGCAGAGGGAGAAGCAGGCTTCCCGCTGAGCGGGGAGGCCGACATGGGGCTCCATCCCAGGACCCTGGGATCATGACCTGAGCCGAAGGCAGACACTCAACTGACTCAACCAGCCAGGCACCCCCCCAATTTTGGAACATTTTTATCTCCCCCAAAGAGAAACCTCAAACGCATGAGCAGTCACCCCTGTACCCTTCCCCAAACTCCCCAGCCCGCGGACACTCCTGGCCTACTTCCTGCCTCTGTGGGTTTACCAAAGCAACTTTTATTTTAAGGACAAAGAGCAAGGAATAAAGTCCAGGAGGGAGAAACTTGGTGAAACATAGGGATGAAAATAACAAGATGGTACAAAATTAAAAATTAGGTGGGATGCTTATTTGAAAGATCATTTTCTCTTCGGTTCTTTTGTTTCCCTCAATTCATTGTCTTCTATGAATTCCTCCCTAAATGCTAAAATCTGAGGAAGATTTCGGCTATTCTCTTCGTGCTATGGGAGTCTTTATCGGGTTATTTGGGTTATGGTCAGCTTCTGCGGGCAAAATAGGACTCTCTCCTAGAGTCTCATCTCTTTAATAGATTATGGCTTTGATCCGAGCAAAACGCCAGCCTAAATCGGCCAGATGTTCATCGGTCACCATCCCTTTTCTTTTCATCAGGTTTACAACATCATCAAGAAGGAGAGTAACCGGCAGAGGGTCGGGCTGGAGCTGATCGCGTCAGAGAATTTCGCCAGCCGAGCAGTTTTGGAGGCTCTGGGCTCTTGCTTAAATAACAAGTACTCCGAGGGGTACCCAGGCCAGAGGTATGTGGGTGCCATCAAAGGCCTGCTTCTGACATAGGGATGGGAGCTGCCGAGTCAGTCTAGGGTCTACACGACCTGGGGATTTCTCTTCCGCTCCTGTCCTCTCCGTAACTCTGTTGCGATTCCCAGCATGTGGCAGTGCCGATGTTCTTGGAGCAGCTGTCCTCGTGGTCTTTAGCAGTCCCTTCGGGGGCTTTTCTAGAATAACAGGCCAGTCCCTAAGGAGTCTGGAGCTGCTGGGCCATTGTGGAGCTTCTAGAAAAAGGTCAGCACTCTGTGACACCGTGGAAGGTGGTTGTTGCTCTGTGAGTAATGGAGTCGGTGTCAAGAGTGATCCAGAAGCAACTACTGACTCCCTTGTGGCTGCATTAGACATGTTAGATTTGGTCAACTCCTTCACCCAGAGAACCACAAGAAGTTCTGTTCATTTTTGGTTTTTTACAGTCATCAGCAAAGATGACAACTACAGAATTCGACCTATGGTTTTTGCAGATTTGTGTTATTTGTGTCCCAAAGGACAGGGAAAAAGAAGGGTCCCCCCCTCGACCCGCTGTCTGCCACTCTACACCGAGATGCCCCTGGAGGTCTCTGGAGAAGGGCCGAGAATCAAGTTGAAGGCATAGTCTTTCTCCTGCCCTGAATAACTACCTTCCCCTCTGCGCCTTCAAGGGTTCACCTGGTGTTTTCACAACCAGTAGCTCATTTGATCCTCGGGGCCGCCCTGCAGGGCAAGGGGGGCCGTTTTCCACATGTGACAGATGAGGAAGCCAAGACTCGATGAGATTCAGTGACTGCTCAGGGTCGCACACAGCTGGATGTTTCCACGCTGTGGTCTCGTAAAAAATGAACATCAGGTCTTTCTTGCTGGTTCCTGGCACTGAGCTCCTAAAGCCCTTGGAATTTGCTGGTTGTAGGCGTGTCTTTTGTTATTCTCAATGACAATGACCCTTTGTTGACCAGGCTTGAGTTTACAGTGAGGTGACTAAGGGTGGGGCGCCTAGATACAGAAAGACCAGATAGGAGATTAGAAGGTCCGAGCTTTTGGCCCTCTCCTCAGGCCTCCAAGGCACCAGGGCACCAGGGGAGGCTGGACTCGGTGGGGCTGTACCCGTCGAGGTGCTGGGAGGGTGGCGCGCCCTCCCGTAATGCCCTAGGCGCCTCTTCCCTTGGCCTGTTCTTTTTTTTTTTTTTTATTTGAGAGAGAGAGAGAGAGAGAGAATGAGAGATAGCAAGCATGAGAGGGAAGAGGGTCAGAGGGAGAAGCAGGCTCCCCATCGAGCAGGAAGCCCGATGCGGGACTCGATCCCGGGACTCCAGGATCATGACCTGAGCTGAAGGCAGTTGCTTAACCAACTGAGCCACCCAGGCGCCCCCCCTTGGCCTGTTCTTGAATTGAATCTTTCATAATAGACCAGTAATCATACAGAAAGCACTTTCCTGAGTTTTGTGACTTGTTCTGGTGAAATGAGCGAGCCTGAGAGGAGGTTGTGGGGACCCCCAAATTTGTGGCCAAGCGGGACAGCGGCGTAAGTAGCCTGGGGGCCCAGGACTTGTGGCTGGTGTGTGAAGTGGGGGCAGACTCGGGAAACTGAGTCCTTAACCTGTGGCATCTGCTCTAACCCTGGGCACTTCAAGTCAGAATGGAGTGGAATTTTGGGGACACCCAGCTCGTGTCCAAGATTTGGTTGTTGGTGTTGGAAAAAAAACAACAACACACATACTCCAAATCCCAGGCTGTCTCGGGGGCTCCAACATTTCTGAGTTGACCTTGTAGAAGAGACTCTGATGGATCCCAGGGGTTTCTGTCCCCACACAGTGGACAAAGGGACACCTGTCCCTTTAGAGAGGTGAAACAGGTGATACCCAGCCCCCCGAGGTGGTTAAGAGGTCCACTGTGGTTCGAGGGCACCCGTTAACCCCTGGTAGGCATTTCTCCTCTGTGAGTCTTGTCCCAAATGAAAATAGATACGAATGAAGAGGATCCACTTTCTTGTATGTGCAGTTTATTAGAAGAACATGGCTTAGATCCCAGGCCCGAGTCGGGCTTCTGAACCCCTTGCCCCGAGCTGAATTTCCAGGCTTGGGACAGCAGTGGGGAACCGCGGGGACGTTTACTGAGTACTTGCTGACTTTCATCAACCCTGAGCACCCACTTTTTCACATTTTAACATCTCTGAACTGGGGATGGACCTGACTGACACCAAGCCATTATTTCATCGAAAACACCTTTGTCTTGCTCTGCAATCGGTAAGAATACAGTGCCCTTGTAACTGAGGGTGAAACGCAGTGCTGTGTTCTAGGCATCGGGCCGAGCGTGACCACGGTCACGTTCATGCATCCCGCAGCCTGACTGCCAGGTCGGCACTCTCACCCCGCTTCCAGATAAGGAGTGGGACTTGGGCAGGTGAAGGCGGCTACTCCAAGTCTCATGGTAAAGAGCAGAACCAGGGGTGCAGCCTCTAGATCTGGGTCTGTGCAGTGCACGTTCTTTCCACAGCTCCCTGCCACCTCTGCAGGTTGTTTGGCACCTCTGTCTGAGGCAGGGCAGGCAGGGGCACTGGGGCCTCGCCATGACCGTCAGTCACCGTCCTATGTTTGCTCCCCTGGAAAATGGCTAATTGCCAAGCCCTGACCTTCCTAAAGGTCTAGCACTCTTCCCCAGTCATGGGCTGCTCTCCTTCAAGCTCAGGGAGCCCACATCCTTCTTTGGTGACAAAGCAGAGCATGTGACGCTGGAAGGGCCCTTCCAGATCACTCAGTGAAGCCCCTTCCGGTTCCCAGACTTGTTCACGGCCGCATTATTCACAAGAGCCAAGAGCTGGGAGCAACCCAGGTGTCGGTGGATGGATGCATGGATAAGCAAAATGTGGCCGAGCCACATAATCAAACGCCCTTCAGCCTTAAAAAAGAATTCCCGTCACACGCTACATCGAAGATGAACCGTGAGGACGTTGTGCTACATGCAATAACCCAGTCTCCAAAACGCGGATAGCGTGTCACGCCGCTGTGGGCTATCTAGAATTGTCAGGATCATAGCAAAAAGGAGAATGATGGTTGCTGGCAGCCGTGGGGAGCTGCTCCTGCATGGGTGTAGAGTTTCAGTTCTGCAGAATGAGAAAGTTCTAGAGGTCTGTTGCACAGCAATGAGAATCTACTTAGCAGTGTGAAGAACTTAATACCACTAAACTATACGCTTAAAAAAGGTTAAGATGTCAGTTCTCTACTATGTGTTCTTTACTAGGATAAAAAGAATATATAATTTATTTGAGAGAGAGTGAGCCAGTGTGAGTGAACACGGGGTGGGGGGGAGGGGCAGAGGGAGAGGGAGAAGCAGACTCCCTGCTGACCAGGGAGCCCAATGTGGGGCTCAATCCCACGACCCCAAGACCCCATGACCTGAGCCACAGTCAAGAGTTGGGCACTCAACCGACTGAGCCACCCAGGCGCCCCAAAAAGAGTATATATATTTAATTTAAAATTTTGAAAGTTTGGGGCGCCTGGGTGGCTCAGTCATTGGGCGAACTGCCTTCGGCTCGGGTCATGATCCCGGAGTCCTGGGATCGAGCCCTGCATCGGGCTCCCTGCTCCGCGGGAAGCCGGCTTCTCCCTCTCCCACTCCCCCTGCTTGTGTTCCCTCTCTCACTGTGTCTCTCTCCGTCAAATAAATAAAATCTTTAAAAAAATAAACATTAAAAAAAATAAAATTAAATAAAATTTGAAGGCTTTCTCTGATCACAAGGCATAGGTGTTAAAAATGTCTACTGAATCGAGTTAATACGATTATTAATATACAGATAAAAAACAAATTTGCATATGTAATTATTAAACAACACGTAAAGTTTTATTAGAACTGTAAAAACAAAAGACAGAAAAACTTTCCAGCTCTCCATCCCCACCAGCCCTGAGGAACCCCCATTCCACATTCTGGCTCTAGGACTTTGCTGCTCTTGGAACCTGATATAAGGGCGAACACACGGTCGTAACTGGCTGACGTCACTCAGCGTATTGACAAGGTCCTCAGGGTTCATCCGCACAGCCTGTCAGAATTTCTTGTAGATGCAGAGGTATTCGCTCAGTCTCGTGGCTGACTTGGCACGGGTGGAAGATGAGTGGCATGGGGCTCGGGGGACTTGTTCTCACTGCTCCTCCACTTTTTTTTCTTCTGTCCCAGCCCGAAGCTTCTTTGGCCTCTGTACAAAGCGCAGAGGTTCAGGGCCAGAGGGGGCCTAAGTTGGCTTTCTCCCGCAGGTATTATGGCGGGACCGAGTTCATCGACGAGCTGGAGATCCTCTGTCAAAAGCGAGCGCTGCAGGTCTATGGTCTGGACCCCAAGTGCTGGGGGGTCAATGTCCAGCCCTACTCAGGTAACTGCCACATCCAGACGGGCCTGGCCTGCCCCCTGCCTGCTGGCGTTCACCGAGGGCAGTCCCAAGAAGGACTGCCTGTAAACCGAAGTGAAAAATAGGCTAAGGCCCTCCTGGGTCTGTGCATCTCTGTCCATCAACCTTGACTCCCTCCTGACTCCCCGCTCCTGAACACTCCTGTCCCTTATTCTCGGGGTTTGCTACAGGGGAACCTCCAGGGAGCTGGGGGGCTGCACAGTGGTGGCCAGGCCTGTTCTGTCCACTCCTGCTTGATAGCCTAGTGGCCAAGTTCTGGGGTCCTGCTCGGGGCCTCATGGGACCTTCCCCTGGCCTCGCGTTCCAGGCTCCCCTGCCAACTTCGCGGTGTACACCGCCCTGGTGGAGCCCCACGGGCGCATCATGGGCCTGGACCTGCCCGATGGCGGCCACCTGACCCACGGGTTCATGACAGACAAGAAGAAAATCTCGGCCACATCCATCTTTTTTGAATCTATGCCCTATAAGGTAAGAGTGGGTCTCTCTCTGGGGCTCTGCAGGCCTTTTCCTCAGAAAGCCTTGGTGTTTGGCTGTACCTGTAGGAATAGGTGGTCCTGTTCCTGAGGTGCTACAGGATGTCCCCACCTTTGGCCATCTGTCACCTCCCTGCCCTGGGGACTCCTCAGGCATTCGGGGCACGTCAGGGGCAGCTAGAGCACAGGGAGATGGGTCTCCTGGGTACTGGGTGTGGCCCTGCTCAGAACCCCCCCCGCCATCTGGAGGAGCCCCTACAAGTGGGAGGCTGGGGCCAGCACCGCACACCCGCGCCCCAGCCCATGATGTTCTGGAAGAGCCGGCCCCTGCACCCCGCTGCCCTTCACAGACCGGTCAGCAAGCCACAGCCTATATGAGCCACGGGCCCGGCATGTGACTGGCACGTAGTCATGAGGGGCCCTTGTCATTATAAACAGTTGGGTTGGAACAATGCACGGACGATGCGTGGGCTCACGGGGGGCGTGGTGGCTGATGCGTAAACTGGATGCCGATGATGGGGACAAAGGCAGTAACCTGCACGCTGGGTTATGGGGCAGCCCGTGCATGTGGTGACTCTCCCTCTCGTCCAGAAACCGTTTCCTCCTGCTGTTTATTGCCCCGTGGGCTGGTCCCCATTAGTCCACGGGTCCCACCACGAGCAAAGGTCCCAGGGTAGCCTTGTGCTTGGCTGAGTGTCAGACACGGGATTTTAATCTTTTAGGAAAGTCAAGCCAGCGTTCCTTCCATCTTGGCATTCCGTGGTCTTTCCTGAGTGCCCTTGACTGTTCGCCGTTTGTTAGCCTTTGGCTCTCTCTTAGTAACCTTGTGTGCTTTTTGTGTGCAAATGACAGTTCACTTGTTTTCGTGGAAAGTGCAGTCATTTCTGGCCACAGGTATCCTTGTTGGCCAACCCTGACCTTGAAGATGGGTTTTGAAACATGAGCGTAATGAGACGATGCTCAGCCTTTGCACGTAGAACACAAAAGCCAATTTCTGTCTTTTTTTTTTTTCTTTAAGATTTTATTTTTTTATCCCCGCCGAGCAGGGAGCCTGTTGCGGGGCTTGATCCCAGGACCCTGGGATCATGACCTGAGCCAGAGGCAGACACCTAACCGACTGAGCCACCCAGGCGCCCCACACAAGCTGGTTTCCTCAGTTTCTTTCACTACGGAAAGAATAGTGGCAGAGAGGAATCACAGACTTGCTTTTGCTCTTAGATGAGGCCTTGGGCAGCCTTACTCTTTAGCCCAATGTCCTCCATTACTCAAGAGTCTCTTCTTTTAATTAATTAATTAATTAATTAATTAAAGTAGGCTCCACGCCCAGCATGGAGCCCCGTGTGGGGCTTGAACTCACGACCCTGAGATCAAGACCTGAGCAGAGATCAAGAGTCAGACGCTTAACCGACTGAGCCACCCGGCCTCCCTCCCCCCAAGAGTGGTGATGGGCCAGCAGGGGTGTGGAGTGGCGGGACCTGGGAGCTTGGCCAGCTTGGGCAGCAGGAGGCACAGCTCACCCGCCAAAGGGGTGCCTGTGGGCACCGGCCCTGTGCAGAGAGGAGACACAGACCTGCCTGGCCTCCAGCATTAGACGCCACACCCCTCCTCTGCCTCCGACCCTGCCTCCCTGCCTCCCTGCCCTCTCCATGGGGCTCTTTCTCACCCTCTAGGCGGCCGCCCCGTACAGGGCCAAGCCTTCCATCTCCGTGGGGAAACAGCAACTCGAACCTTCTGTCCCCTCGTCTCTCCTGTGTCCAAGGAGGCTCCTCCCCGAAGGTCCTAGGTGACAGAGGGGAGGCTCCTTTCCTGTCCCTCCACACCACTCTGGCCCCTCTGCGGTTTCTGACAAATGCCTGTGAATTCTCCAGGAGCGGGTTTTTTTTTTTTTTTTTTTTTTGGTCCAATGTTTAGCGTTTTTTTAAAAAGAAAAAACTTAAAGAAAATCCTCTAAGTTTAAAAAGCAGAATGTGGAAGGGAGAATAGCAACACATTTTTGGGGGTGGGTGGGTAATTATGTCTTTAAAAACTTTTTTAGAATTACGTCCATTTTTCTACTGCGGGTCAGCTGTTGATTTTCTTCAAGGTAACAGTTTCTCTGCCAAGTTCAGGTGACTAGAAAGAACCAGTTCATTCCCTTTGAAACAGAACCACAACTGGTCCTTCCACGTGCCTTTCCAGATGAGGTCTCGGTTGCACACAAGCTTCGTGTTGAATTGGAAAGGGGTGGCCACCAGACCCGAGCCTTGCCCCCCGGGGGGCAGGGGCTCCTCCCACCACCTCCTCCCCGGAGAGCTCCTGTGCCCCACACCCCTAAAATCTTTCCCTTTTTTACTTCCGCTTGGCACAAATGCTTTAGGAATCTTTAATACACTTTAATACAACTTGAATACACTGATTTTACTAAGACACGTGTTTTCAAAAAGGGGGAAAAATTGTTTGACGTTTCACATGTAGATGGATCCACAGTGTATCTGGAATCGATTTCTGTGGGGGGCGGTGAGGTGGGCATCCAGGTGACATTTTTCCATGTGGACATCCAGTGGACCTAGTGCCACGTACTGGAGGAACAGCCTTTCCCTGCGGTGTCACGGTTGTCCTCGATCAGGTGACCCCCTCTGTCCCTAGGGGTCCCATTTCTGGGCTCTCTTCTGTTCTTGTCCTTCCACAAACATGCTAGCTTAATCAGTGTAGCTCTTTGTGTTTTTAAATTTCTCTCAATAATGTTTTGTGTGGGGCGCCTGGGTGGCTGAGTCGGTTAAGCGTCTGACTCTTGATTTCGGCTCAGGTCACCATCTCAGGGTCGTGAGATCAGGCCCCGCATGGGGCTCTGCGCTCAGCAGGGAGTCAGCTTCTCTCTCTTTCTCTCTCCCCCTGCCCCGCCCCGCCCCTCCCCTCCCCTTATTCACGCACTCTGTCTCTAAAATAAATAAATCTTTTATTTTTTTTTTAAAGATTTTATTTATTTATTTGACAGAGAGAGAGACAGCAAGAGCAGGAACACAAGCCGGGGGAGTGGGAGAGGGAGAAGCAGGCTCCCCGCAGAGCAGGGAGCCCGATGCGGGACTTGATCCCAGGACCCTGGGATCATGACCCGAGCCGAAGGCAGATGCTTAATGACTGAGCCACCCAGGCGCCCAAATAAATAGATCTTTTAAAAAAAAAGTTTTGTGTGGAGGTCTTGTATATCTTTGGTTGGATATTTTATGGCTTTTGAAACTAATGTAACATTATTATTAACATTTCACTTCCTATTTTTTGCTGCTTATCTGCATGAATGTAGCTGATTTTGGGTTTTGACCCTGCATCCAGTGACCTTGCTAAATTCAGTTACTAATCTAATAGCTTGCCACCAGAGACTTGGGTTTTCCGGGTACACTGTCATGGTGTCTGTGAGTAATGTCAGCTTTTTACGTCTTCTGATCCTGTGTCTTTATTTCTTTTTCTGGCCTCTTTGTACTTGGACTAGAAGAGCTGTTAGCAGCAGCTTGTCTCTTTCCCAAAGGTAACGGCGTCTCAGCACCCACATTGCGTGGTGCATGTTTGTTGTTCCTGTTTCATTCCCGATGGCTGTTTGGGTCCTTGTCTTTCCTGGGAGAGCCCTGGGGCAGGGGATGACTTTTCCTCTGGGGCCCCCTCAGGGCATCCTTCCTCCGTGAGCGATGCTTGGTTGTCCACACCACTAGTGCAGGCCAAATACACTGGCACCCATCTTGCCCTCAAGTCGTGCCCTGGGACAGCCTTCCTGCATTCGCGGTGGAGGGGAGCGAACAGGTTTCGGGCAGGTACAGAAAGTCATCTTACCTTGATAGCTAGCGCAGGGTCGGGCGGGACGGCAGGCCCAGCGTGGTGGAGGACGCCGCCCGAGCCTGCTGTCTCCGTGACATCCCACAGGTGAACCCAGACACTGGCTACATCAACTACGACCAACTGGAGGAAAATGCCCGCCTCTTCCACCCGAAGCTGATTATCGCAGGTGATGAGCCGGGGGTAAAGGAACCGCCTTTGTTAGCAGCTCCCATTCCTGTTACAAAATGAGGACGTGGACATGTCCCCTAGCTCACTGCTAGTCTCTGCCTCGAAAGGCTGGCCTTCTGGGGTCTCAGGATATTCTTTCCTTTCAGGACAAATAACTGTTTGCCACCGTTAGTACTAGGCGGAGTAAGATCTGAGGCTGTTCTCAGAGAAGCATCTAGAAATGTTAACCCCTAATTGGTGGAGTTGATAATAGTTAGGGGCCGTCCCAACCACCGTGAAGAGGCACCTGACCTGAAGAGGCAGGTCAGAGTGGTTGCCTTTGGCACCAAGGTGTTTTGGGGGGGTAGTTTTCATTTCCGTTCTCAGGGATGTTGGAGGGAGAAATTTCCAAGCTGTCGAATCTGCCTATCCGGGGGCCGCTTTGCAGGTTTGCACTTCCCGCGACTCTCAGCTGGCTATGGGTATCTCTGACTTGACTGTGTCACCTCTGCCATCTTAGGAACCAGCTGCTATTCCCGAAACCTGGACTACGCTCGACTGAGGAAGATCGCGGACGACAACGGGGCATATCTCATGGCCGACATGGCGCACATCAGCGGGCTGGTGGCGGCTGGCGTGGTGCCCTCCCCCTTTGAGCACTGCCACGTGGTGTCCACCACCACCCACAAAACCCTGAGAGGCTGCCGAGCCGGCATGATCTTCTACAGGAGAGGTGCGCTTTCCAGGGTGTGGGGGTACTGGCAGGGTGCTGGCGTTGGCCTTTCTCCTCTGGGGTTCATGTTCCGTTTGGGGAGCTGGGAAAAACCGGGTCCCTTGATGTGTCCCTGCAAGAGCTACTTACGAGGGGGCAATGGCAGGCTGCTGAAGAGATCTGGAAAAAAGCTTTGAGCACAGCTCTTGCCTCACTCCTTGGGTGTCTGGGTCTTGGGAAAGGAGGAAGGGTATTGTGCCGTGGGTCACCTAGTCCTCCCTACAAGAGCTGAATGGAGGTGCGTGGCTGGCCAGGGGCTACCAGAGGCCTCACGGTGCAGCCTTACTTTGGTGAACTTACTCTGGTCCAGCATGCCTCTCGAAGAGGATGATTCACAGTAATCAAACCATAAGACACTGACGTATAAACCATAGTTAACCAGTGTAGTCGTTGTAGTGAGGATTCTCTATTGAATGCCTGCAACCCACACGTCCAAGCACACCCTTTATTTTGGGATCCCCACACCTGGGAAAGCCAGATGCAATGATCAGATCATTCAGCCCATGGTGAGACCAGATGCACGCCCACCCACAGAGAAACTGGCCCTCTTGGCAACTGGGTCTCTCTCCCCTGCAGTCTCGTTGTCGGGCCCCCTGGCCAGGGCTGGACACACCCACATGCCCACGAGCCTTCTCAGTGCCCTGTTGTCCCTGAGGACCTTGTTCAGTTGTTTCGACAGTCCTGAGGCAGGTGGCCATTGCCACCTGCCTGGGAAATGTCCACGGAGTGCTGCTGTGTGGCTAGACTGAGCTACTCCTGCACTGGCCACGTCCATGCTGTGTGATCCTGGGCTAGTTGTGCAGCCTCTGTGTGCCTCATTTCCACGCCTCCGGAGCAGGAATCGTTATAAAAGCACCCGTCCCTTCAGACTAGTGTTGGGAGCATTCATTCATTCATGTAAAGTGCCTCGAGCAGTTCCTCGCTCACAAGGAGCTCTGTAGAGACATTAGTTACTACAACGGATTATTAACCTTTTTTTCAGAAAGGAATCCTAGTCGTCATTAGAGCCTTATTATATAATTAATATATATCATTATACAAATGAGTCTTCTCTCCTTCAAAGTAATCATCTTGGAAGACTGCTATCTTGGACAGGTCTTTGAGGAAATATGCCCAAGGCATAGTCTTTGTTACAGTCTCGGCGGAGGGAAATTATTATGCTTTGATTTCATCTATGAAAGGGTGGTCTGCCCCTGCTCTGCAAGCAGGGGGCCCCGGGCCTCCGCAGTGTGATGGACCAGGTCTCCTCCCCCAGGACTAGAGGCCAGGCTTGTGCTTAGCGCCCTGGAGCCAGTCTGGGTTGGAGAAAACAGAGGGGACAGCCTGGCTGATGTTCCCATTCTACCGTTTTCCTTCATCCAGGAGTGTGCAGCGTGGATCCCAAGACGGGCAAAGAGACTCTGTACAACCTGGAGTCGCTTATCAACTCGGCCGTGTTCCCAGGCCTGCAGGGCGGCCCCCACAACCACGCCATTGCTGGTAAAACGTCACCAGAGCCAACCCCGAGGCCTCGGGTGGCGCTTGGGGGGGGGGCACCCTCATCCATGGCCACCCCTTCGCTCCTCGGTGGCGCCTAATGCCCATCTCAGCCGTCCACCAAATGGGTGGCAGGGCCTGCCCGCTGGGGAGGAACCAGAGTGAGATCTCTGTCCGGGAGGTGCTAACCAGGAAGAAGAGGGAAACTGGTAACTGGTGTCAGGCAGGGGCGGGGGGGCGGGGGGGGAGCGATGACCACTCCGCTTCAGGGAAGGAATTCAACGATTAGGAGGCGACACAGCGGGGGGTGGTGAGCGGTTAGCATCCAAACCCTGAGGAGACAAGTCGCCTCGTCCTGACATCCTGCCCCTCGCACCGCTGAGATCACCCAGCAGGCTGCCAGTGACTTACTCCTTCTCTGTACAAATGGCTTAGGAGATGTGATGACCTCAGAGTCGTTCCAGAGGCTTCTGTGGAACAAAGCGGTTTGGTAGAGGAGCCCAGGACGAAGGCATACGGCCTCCATCCAGAGACGCGCTGGTGTTTCTAAGGAGGGGAGGGAGGGGGCGGGTTTCCACGGGGAGTTTTCCCAGTCCCCCCTTTACACCTCCAGACTCCAGGTCTGCGGTTCCTTCAACCCCCGGGTGATGGGATCACTCGCTCTCCAGCCACTCTGGGCCTTTTCCAGTCATTTCCACCAACACCGACGAGCAGCTTCGGTGCCCGCACGTAGGCAATGCCTACTTTGCTTTCTCCTTCACTTTCTGTGCTCCCTTCAGCGGCCCTTGGGATTGAATGAGGGACGGGAGGAGTCTGGACGCACAGGTCAAACAGGGCGGCACCTCTCTCCTGGCCTCTGGTCGGAGAGATTTGTACAATTTGGCACCAGAGCGGAAGCGTTTTGGGGCAGCTGTGTGTCCACACACTGAGCCTAAAAAGGACCGTAAAATCCATCTTGCGGGAGAATAGCTTCCCTGTGATAACCATGTTAGCACGAAACTCCCAAGCTCCTCAAAAAGGAGAGGTCTGTAGTGTTTGCCAGGTAATTGTAGGGTTAAAACTAGATCTCATTTGGGGCGCCTGGGTGGCTCAGTCGTTAAGCGTCTGCCTTCAGCTCAGGTCATGATCCCAGGGTCCTGGGATCGAGCCCCACATCGGGCTCCCTGCTCGGCGGGAAGCCTGCTTCTCCCTCTCCCACTCCCCCTGCTTGTGTTCCCTCTCTAGCTATCTCTGTCAAATAAATAGAATCTTTAAAAAAAAAATAGATCTCATTTGGGGCAAGAAGTATAATCCACCCTCTCTCGGGTGGCAGTGAAACGCAGGGAGGCCTGCGTGGAAACAAGGGGCATTCTGTGACTCCTGGTCAGCCGGCTGGTCCCCCGTCCTGCCTTCCTGACCTTTTCTCTCCTCCCGCCAGGGGTCGCTGTGGCCCTGAAGCAAGCGATGACTCCGGAATTCAGACTTTACCAGCGCCAGGTGGTGGCCAACTGCCGGGTTCTGGCTGAGACCCTGATGGAGCTGGGCTACAAAGTGGTGACAGGTACCAACCAAATCCCCGGGGAGGCACCCCTGCTCCTTGGGGTGGCATTGAGGCCGGGCCCTGGGCCCTGCGGCTGCAGCCGTGGGCTGAGTCTCACTGGCGCAGGAGACCACAGGTCCTCCGGAGAGCTTTGTGGAAGGCGGACCCAAGGCCCGGGGAGTGTGCCGTGTCCATGTGTGCTTTAATACAAAAGATGGTGCTGAGTAAGCTCCCGGGGGGGTGGGCTTTTCAGGTGAGGGCCCGCTCAGGGGTGCCGTCCGCTTGCGTCCCTGCGGGCTCGCACAGTTAGGACGGCAGCTTTCTGGCAGACTTTGTGATCTTGAAGGACAGCGTCGTTCTTCTGCTCTCAAGGCTGCCGTCTATGCTGCCAGTGGGGTGGTCTAGGGAGAGGCGTCCTGGTATTCCGCAGACTCGGGTGCCCACTCCCTGCCCGCCGCCCTTTTCAGGGACCTCAGGCCCCTGGCTGAGGAGTGGGCTCCCCACCAAACTTGGTGAGCAGCAGAGCTGGGACAAAAACTGGCTCCTCTGCAGTCCTGGGGAGCACTTTTCTCTGGTTCCCTCCACTTCCTTTCTTTCCTTTCTCCTTCGTCCTGCGCATGTCAGTAAGAAAGCCCTGGAAACCTCGGTGGGGACTTTGACTTTCAAGGTCCCTTGGGTTACTCGTTGTCAAACTTGGATGTGCACACAATCCCCCAGGCAACCCTGTTAAGTGCAGGTCTGACTCGGCAGGTCTGGGTTGGGGTCTGCATTCCAGCTGGCCCCCAGGTGATGCGGGCGTGGGAACCGCACTTGGCATTGGGAGGAGTTAGACCAGACTCCCTCTGGCTGCAGATAGCACATGGCAGCCCGGCGCTGCCCAAGGCCTCACGGGAGTCTCAGGAGAGAAGCCTCCACCTCCCTGAGCTCCCAGGCCTGCCCGCACCCCTGGTTCACTCTGCTCTGAGGGCACAGCGCAGATGGCCGAAGCAGAGAATGGTGACCGTAAGGCGGCGTCTGTGATAACCTGCTTCGTGCGTGGTACGGGCGGAGCGCTGCAGACGGCACCGTACTGAAACTTCACAACAGCCTTGTGAATTATTGCTCTTTTTAAATTTTTATTATTTTTTTAAGGATTTTATTCATTTACGCGAGAGAGGGAGAGAGTGTGCACAATTCAGGGGCGTGGGCAGAGGGAGAGGCAGAAACAGACTCCCCGCTGAGCAGGGAGCCCTATGCGGGGCTCGATCCCAGGACCCTGAGATCACAACCTGAGCCGCAGGCAGACGCTTAACCGACTGAGCCACCCAGGCCTCCC